AACAAAAACTATGATAATTCACTCACAATATAAAAATATTATTAACAAAAATTATTTTCAGATTTGTGATCAAAGATGTAGTAATAAATATAAACATTTATTTGTAGATAATAAGCAGTCTTCTGATTGTAAATGTAGGTACATATAAAATGTTAATACTAAAACATAATTAGGGCTAATTATACTTATGGATTGACAATATGTGGTTCAACAAGTAACATTCACTCAATACAAAATATATATATATATATATATATATAATTCAAAAAAGAATGTTTATGATGATAATCTTAAATAAAAATGACAAACTTAATACAAATGTTACATTAACAAATAAAATTATAAGAAATCAATTATTTTTTATAAATGAACTTTATAAATACATAATTATTTTGAATTCCTGTTATAGTTTAAATCATAAAGTACTAAAAAATCATATGTATAATATCAGACCATTCGAAAATAAGTAATATGGAATTCCAAATTCCAATAATAACTAGTGAACAAGAGTAAAAGAGTATAAAACACCACATATAATGAACCAACTCCCCAGGATTTATGGAATATAAATACAGAGTATAAAATATATAATAAACCAACTCCCCAGGATTTATGGAATATAAATACAGAGTATAAAATACCACATATAATAAACCAACTCCCCAGGGAGTTATGGAATATAAATACAGAGTATAAAATACCACATATGATGAACCAACTCCCCAGGGAGTTATGAAATATAAATACAATTGCGGAGATAAAAAAAAATAAAAGATTGGTTATTAACTGGTGTTCATAGACAAACTGATTAATATTCACTGAATGGTACTTTATTCATATAGGATTAATGTTATACTAATTTACATTTTTTAGTATCTATGTTATTGCTTGTTTGTGATAAAAGTACAATAGCATTACAGAATATTATGTTTTTGTGTTATGTTCAATAAGTTGTTGATTTCAGATATATGTTAATATAAAATTATGATTGAGTTAGATTTCTAATATCAGTTTCACCTTTTTGTGTTTTATTTATATTTATTAATATACATAGAAAATTTTGGTCACAGTTATTGAGGAATTTTAAGGTTTTCTTTACAAATCTTTGAAATGAGACTAAAATTCCTGATTTACAAAACCTAATTGGTTCCGTGCATGCCAGAGTGATTTTATGTATCCGCGCATTATACTGTCAAATAAAGATTTTCTTCGAAAAATATGGCATAAATCTGTACTGCTAAATTAACAGTTGACAATACTTATCTAGATGCATGATGTTAAATCTGTGTAACTCAGCTAAAGGTTTTAAAATTTTGGCCCAGCTGGGTGTATTCAAATATTTTGTGGTGCCACATAGTACTAACATTTCAGCAGCTTTATATAGTTTTTTTTTTTTTTCACTTAGCTGTGATGTCTATAAACCCTCAATGATTCTGTGAATTATACATTTACATTGTACTTGACCATTAGTAAAAACTTCTATTTGTTTGCTATTAACTTATTTCAACCGTTATTTTTTCCATTATATATATAAATAATGTGATCATAGTATAAGAACCAGTACTGTTGTGGAAAAAATGTGGATAAATTAACCACTATAAGCAATCGAATTAGCAGTGTGAAGAGTGTATAACGTAGATCCACTGCAGTAAATCTTTAATAGTACAGAATGTTAGGCCTTCGTTTTCTTTATTTCTAATAAATTTGTTAATAGGCTAACAGCATGAAATCTAGCAATGAATTCCGAACTGCTACAGTACAAATGCAGCTGATACTGTTTGTAGCGCGTTAACACAGGCTCAACACAGTACTGTTCTGCACCTCGATTACGAAAAAAGAAACTAAATATCGTTTTTTACGTAAATGTTGCTTTTTGATAGTTTACTAATACTCAGTAAATGGCCAGGTGGTGAGGGCGCTCGACTCGCAATCTGAGGGTAGCGTGGTCGAATCCCCATCACACCAAACATGCTTTCAGCCATGGGGACGTTATATGTGCGGTCAATCCCACTATTCGTTGGTAAAAGAGTAGCCCAAGAGTTGGCGGTGGGTGGTGATGACTAGCTGCCTTCTATCTAGTCTTACACTGCTAAATTAGCGATGGCTAACGCAGATAGCCCTCATGTAGCTTTGCGCGAAATTCAGAACAAACAATACTCGGTAACTAATTTTCTGAAATATACATTTATCTTAGCAATTTTTTTTTGAGTAAATATGGTCCGATGTAGTAATATACGACTACGAGTCCCTTGATGTGAGGTATTTATGTCCTATTCGGTCATTTCGAAGGAATTCACGTTAAAGATATTTTAGCAAATGCCATTTGGGGAAAATTTTGATAACTTTGTTAGAAATGTAGTACTTTTTTTACCGTATTTATAACTAAATATGGTCCCATGTAATCTTGTTGGGTGCCCTATGCTGTTACTAGTAGGATCATTGATATTGCTACTGTTGTTTTATAAGTGCAAACCTACACAATGGGCTATCTGCGCTTTGTCCACCGCGATGAATCGAACACCGGAACCCCGTATTTTTGCTTTCTAATTTCGTATACTTACTTCTGGCCTACCACAGGACTATCTTTTAAATAAAAAATTCTTGTTGATATGAGAGGAATATATAGTGAAATATTAAATCGGATAGTTTTATGTTGACCCTAACAGTTTCTTTTTCATTTTTTCGGAAGAAAGCGTCGATATGTGAAAACATATATATTTAGATGTTTGAAGAGAAATGAAGGATTTTAAGTTGTTAATTGGAGTTCAGAAGTACCATATTTTAAAAATATATTAGGACAATTTCAAATGTGGGACTTGGAGATCCATATTTTATTTGCTGATTAACTAGGGAAAATGACGTTTGCAGTCTTAACCTTTATTTTTTTTTATATTTGTTTCGATAAGATATAAAGAGCACCTAAGTGACGGTCCGCGACCTTTCCAATATCTATTGCCTATAGGTAGAAAAAAAAGTGACATTTATGATTCTATTTGACTTTTTGATTCTGTTTTGAGAAGGTATAAAGAAACAGTCGTTGATTGGATGACACAGAGGTTGAGTACGTTATATTAAAACAATTTTAGAGCCTCATTGCGTCGTTGTGGTCCCTGTTGCCACGTCCGATTATGTTGTAATTGACGATCGTGCATCTTGAGAATAGCCTTGCAGCGTATTTTCCATCGCAAAATGCCCCCCCCCCCCACACACACACATTGCCTGCTTTCCACAGATTTTCTTATTAACGAAGATGACGATTTTTGAGAGCCTGTTTCAACAGTCTGATCGCACAGAAATCCACAGGCGCTTTGTATGGGACTTAACCAGTATTGGAAAGTGCACTAGTACTCTCTATAGAGGGATGGACGCCTGTATTAAAGCTATACAAAAATCATCTGGATTTTCTTCTCAATAGATCATCAGAAGCTAGATGTGAAGAGCTGCCTGGCATAGTCATTCTCTCTCCGGTGTATATGTCAGTTTTAAGTCCTAAAGTCGAAAACCAGCGAATAGCCAAAACCGAGATTTCTTATTTTCGTTATCATCATCTTTCTTCAACAGGCCTAGCGCCTATATAGTTCTAGCACTAACTATAATTTTATTACTTGATAGAGCAAAACATTCTTCACAATTCTTGACTAGACTACCTATTTTATTATTATGTGCAAAATTTATAAAGCTTTAGAATACACTATAACCTAGTATCCCATGTACGCCATCTTATTAAATGAAAGTATAACAAGTATAAGGGGAAAAAATCGATAAATAAAAAATTATGTAGAGCTGGCTACTGAATTTGAAAAAAAAGGAACCAAACAAGACTTATATTTTTGACACGTATACCATGTCTGTACACCATTTTCCTTTCTTATGACTCAAACTTTTACTTACAACACATATATATATTTATACATTAGTTATGTGAAAATTTACAAAATTTTACACTAGTCACATATTCAGTCTATTACAGTGTTGAGAACTGTTTCATTCATTCATGTAAGTGAAGGGTAATGTTATATGATAACATTAGAAAGTAGAAACACTTAAATACATGTACAGAACACTTGGTGAATGAAGTAACGATAGTGAAGAAAGGTAATGTCATGTAATGAACACAAAAATTGAAACACACTTGATGAATATTAACAATATGATGGTTATTGGACAAAGGTAGTAATATTCAAATAAGAATAAAAAAAAAAAAGAGTTACCACTCATCTTCACTTTAGTCCTGACAACAAGTCCTCTAGGGTTATAGTGTCTTACATTTTCTGTGGCTGTTGGTGGTGGTCTATCAAATGATTTCCTTTGCATGTTCAAGGCTTTACAGGTTTGTGCTAGATCATCCTGGATGAAGCTTTCTTAGAGTCACACATATTTGACCAGACCACATTTGTGCAGTTCACCATCATTGCATAGGTTATTCTACTAAACAGCACTCTTTCCCATGAGAAAGCTTTGTGACACATTTGATTATCAAAGTTCTGTTATTAAAAGCACACACTGAACTCTCTAAGGAACACAGAAAATATTAGATGTTTTTCATACCACAACACCAAATAAAATCAAAATTATGAAAAGAATATTGTGTTACATCTTTAAATATATTACCAAACTTGCATATCCCACTGAAGATTCTTTTCGTAGAAATTGAGAAAAGTCACATTATGTGGGGTAATATATTTTTTTCCCATTATTCTGGCAGTGTTTTAATTTTTGTGGAAATTACTTTCACTTGAAGGTAAAAATGATAAATTGAAACATATAGTCTTTACAGTCAGAACTGTCAAAGTTTTTAAATTATTTCTATAAAGCTGTTTTGTTTTTGATATCAATTTTGAAATTAGGAATGTCCTTTTAACTATAGATTACTACAGTGTTGATGACATCCTTAGTATTTAGCAATAAAAATATAGTTCAGGGTATACCTTAGGTAATTCTCTACAATTGGTATAATGTTGAATGTTTAGGTATTTATGTAATCTTATTTTCATTTTCAGGGGAGTCCGGACTTGGAAAATCAACACTTATCAATAGCTTGTTTCTGACAGATCTTTACAAAGAAAGAAAAATTTTAAATGTTGAAGGTTAGTTATTAGGCAATTAATAGGAATTTTCATGTGCTAAAAATATTTTTAATAATGTGTTTTCCCAAAAACTGTCTTTCTATGATACCATAGCATCTGTGTATTTTAGTGTGTATGTAATTATGGGTTGTTCATTCCTCTCTCGTATAGTTATCCCCCCCCCTCCAAATATTATACATATTGACAGTGTTTGAATGAGGTGTCCTGCTAGACACCTCTCGACTTGAAAGTGGTTGAGGTTAGGTATGTGATTGTTATTAGATAAAAGGAAGACAAAGATAAGTCTTGTTCTTTATGGTAAATTTGTGCCTTCACTGAAGTTTATGAATTGTCTTTTATAGTGAATAAAAGAGTCAGTGTGGTCTGCAATGTGGGTTGCATGTACAAAGTGGTGGATCATGAGACTAAATAGTAGTTTGTGTTAGTTGTGTGTCGTTCCAGTGTTTGACCCTAAAATAATTTGCACAAAAATTGGCTCAAAGGAGTATGAAGCCATGTGTGTTGGTGATGGTTACCTGTGAAAATATGGAGACATATTCCCCATTTAGTGTTAAGTAATAAATTTCTGTTGAGGTTTTAAACTTGCAGCTAAAGGAAGTTGTACTTATACATATTTACAAGTAACTCACCCGCCTAGAATTTGCAAGTTTGTTTTAGTTTAATAATGTTAGCTTGCAGTGATCAGTATTAATTGTAGCTAATATAAGCTGTGAAAGACTCAGATGTTAAGAACAAACAAGAAAGGTGAACTGGTTTAAATTGTTGAATGATACAAGAAGAGTGCAAGTAAATCGACCGGACTAAGAGAAATATTAAAAGTAATTTAAAGATAACATTGGGTTGATTACATGTGAAACAAATATTACAGAGGTTGAGTACGTTATATTAAAGATCACCACGTCATTCCAGTCCACGTTGCCATGTCTGGTCATCTTCTATCTGCCAACATTCATCTTGACAATAGTTCTGCAGAAAAATTTCAATTGCAAAGACTTTGTCATAAGGCTATCATCAAAGCATACCCCTCCTACCTGCATGCTCGCCATGATCTATCTCATTTATAATGACTACTGTTTCCCAATGCCAGATTCAACAGTCTGACCGGAAAAGAAATCTGTATACACTGCCCTGCATCCAATGACTTTACTGGTATGTTTTCATATGGAATAACATCATATGAATATCTGTTTCATTATGTAGCTGCTTGAGGTACATATGTGACAGTTAAATAAACGTGTTGTGGAAGTAACTTATATACAAGATTATTAAATATTTTTAATTTAAAAAGGGTGGAATAGAGATTGTCAAAAAAGTATAGAAACAAGTTGAATCAAAATGCAAAGGTTATATTTTCAAGCTTACAACTAGAGACTAAAAAAAGTAAGCAAACAAGACTGGAAATAGTGTCTACATTATTTTCTCAAGCTACAAATCCCTAATTTGTCCCAATGTCTACAGTATTTATCAATTTTATTGGAGACGAAATATGAATTTGTAGTTTGAGAAAAGCTGTAAGCAGTAGATCTCCAGCCTTGTTTGCTTACATTTTTTTTTGCAATCCTTATTTGTAGATTTTAAATTCTCAATGTTTAATTATCTTGTATGTTGGCTTTGTAAATGCAGCGTAAGACACCCCCCCTCCCCCATCAGTAGAAAAGCGGCCTTTTCAAATAAAACAAATACGTCTAAAACATCGCTTTTAATAAA